ATATATTAAATATTAAAATGTAAAGATACAGCAGGTATATATACATACATATATATATATACACGTATATATACACGTATATATATATATATATATAATTTTTTTTTACGGTGTATGATTTGATACTTCTCCTAAACGGTTATTCAGATTTTGATAATTCTTTTTAGAGTTTGTCAAAGGAAAATTTTGAGATTTATTGAACCATGAAACTATAGTAATATCGTGAAAATAAATGGCAAAAATTACAAAAAAACACTTATCGTTGTTTGGCATTTTAATACATTTGAACTGTAATCCTTCTAGAAATGTCAATTCACTTGAAATTTGAATTTAGCTGAAATTATGAGCCTAGATAATATTAGAATATAATATACAAGAAAAATGTAATGTCTGCATTATTATTGCCGAAAAACAGATGAGATGTGCCAGAAGTTGAAATAATATAAGATCATATAAGATACAGTCAACAGTATATGTTTGGCAGATGAAATTATATAATTCAGTTTAATAATGAAGTCCAAAATTGCATATACATTATTTTTTTAAAGTTATGCATGTCGCGTTTTGATTTTTTTTACAAAATTATTTGATAATACAAAAAATATTTTCACATATTAAAAAAATGATTTAGAATTTTGTTTCATTGGTTTTCATTTGTTTGGCATTCAAGGATATGAAATATTTAGCAAGTTGATTTTAGATTGAATAGTGCACATATGAACTAGTTTTTACAGAATTAATTCACCAAAGATTTGAACATAAACAATAATGTTTATTAAATTATTAGTAAGGAAAAAGTACTTTAGAAATTATAATTGCCAAAAAGCAACTAATATATCGTACGAGATTATGAAAATCATAGACTAAATTATTGATGCAATTATGTTGTGTGTGGTAAAATCAAGTGTGATATTGTTCTTTTACCGCAGATATTATATTATTTTTGTCTGAATTTTTTATACTGATTATGCTAAGACTTATAAATGAATTACAAAGGCAGGGCATCAAATAGTATATTAAAAAGTATGGGATAGGTTATTAAAAAAATTGTAATTTTTGAATTGTAGACGTGGGTACAGGACTTCGTCTGTCGGGACATTTAGTATATTTTATATATATATATATATATATATATATATATATATATATATATAAATTTGAACTAAACCGAATAAATCCTATGATTTTTGCTGAATTACTAAACAAATTATAATTACCCATGACTACTAGTAGGAATTCAGTATCCGTTCGGCCTTATAGGGCACCTAATAGTAAGTCTTTATATAAATTTTTTGTCCAACTTCCTTTCCTCAATGTCTTTTGGATTCGAAGAACATCATCCAAGCGTTGAAATAAATAAACACATCATTTGTAGGCAATTTTTGTACAAGCATTTGCCTTTGAAATTAACATTTCGTTATACGTGATATGAGTAAGAAACTTTGGATAGTAATAATAAAACGTTGTATGAAATAGATAAATATATTTCCCTTATTATTAGCAATTCCAGCAAAAAGCGATTCAGGAACAGAATAATCGATTCCGACTTCTGGCTTTCACAAAATTAATATTCTCTTGCAGCTTATTATTGCAACTTGCAACTAATCTGCAATTGTTATGTTAATTATTGCAAAGGCAGATGTTGCAACTGCAAAGGCGTTTATATTGCCACTGCGAACAAAACCAGGGACGGATTTAGTAAAAAATAAATAGATAGACAGATAGAAGATAAAGCAAGTGATAAATGAATAAGTATTCTAAATAGAAGTAGAAATTTTTGAAGTAAAACTTCTTTAGGCGCGACTGGAGCGTAAATCCGTACAAATGCAACGAAAGTGCGTTACGACAGATAAGAGTCGATAAGATAAGAGTTGAGTGCCAATGATTCGTCATTCACTCTCAATGATATCATTTCTATACGCGTCGATTGTGATTAGTCGTCGTGTCATGTGCATAGAGATATGTCGTGGTATGCGTACCGGCATCAACGTTGTATGCGTACCGATATCAACAAGGAAATTGGCATAGATAAATAAACATTTTAAAGTTACATTTGTAGTACAAATGTTGATTTAATAAAAAATGCCTGAATCAGAAGAATATTTTACCCTGTCTACCGTAAATAATAATAATAAAAATAATAAAACAAATTAAACATTTGGGCCGTGTACTAAACGTAAGTTTATTGATTAGAAATTATTTCTATATTATTCGTAGTTTCTATAAATCTTTGAAGTTATTAAAATGGAAAATATTTTTTAGGCAAAACAGATATTACAGCTGTTCAAAGAATAAGATTATATCGCCAGCGAAAAAGTAAAAAAAATACCAGCAATCAATGAATGTATGTTAATTTTAATTATATGAAGTTCTTCAAACACAATTATTACATGATGAGTGCGCAAAAACAATATTTGTTTAGGCGTTGTTTAACATAATCCATCACTGTGTGAACGGAAATTATAGAATTTATTAATCAGCAATTACTTTATTTCTCTAATAAAGATTTATTGCTAAATGCTAATTACAATGACAAACCGATCATATCATATTTGAAGTATGACTTTAATTACATTATTGTTTTTAAATATTATACACATTTTCAATGCTATTATAAATATATAATTAATAATTTATCATTATATAAATGTGTACATTTATATAAGAAATAACTGTACATCATTTTTTATTTGGATATTTGGTGTGGTAAATTATAAGAAAAAAATTGTACGTAGAAATAGAACGTTTAACAATATGTGTTTGACACTCGACTGTATTTTTGATTACCATTATCTCTGACAGCTACATTTTTATCAATCATCAAGTGTTCGAAACAAAAATAACAAAGAGTTTATAAAAAATCTATTTCACATCCAACGATCTTGAAATTCCTTCATTTAGAATGTCAAGATTGATAGAAAAAAAACTCTTGAAACTATAATTCGCGAGCCAACCTACACATTTATTGACCTTTGTGATGATGGACACGAAATTTCGGCACAATTTTTTTTCTCGTATACAATCCAATTAAATAAACATTCTGAGAGTCTATAAAATAAATATTATAACATTGTTCGAATGACACACGATGGAGATTTTGGGAGATTTGCGTCATTGAAATTGTTTCAAGATCACTTTTAAATGTATATCTTGAGTAGATTCAGAACTTATTTAGTGCTAAAAATATGAATATATATATATAAATATATATATATATATATATATACTAGCCGACCCGGCAAACGTTGTTTTCCTAAGTAAGGTATATTCTAAACAATTTGTAGAGAATTAAAAATATTAATACTTTTAGTGTATAAGGATGTGTTGTTTGAATGCTATATACAATGAGGTATTATAAAATCAATAAACCCCATTAGTTTGTCTATATTCTGTCAATGCAATCAAACTGGAAGATTTATACACTTTTTATAGAAAACATAGTATAAACCATTCAAGTCTTTTTTGGTATAAAAATCAAACCAATTATATCACAACAAATAAAACATTTCAAACGAACAATTTTCTGACTACGTACAGTAAAACGGTCAGCTACTTCATCATTGTAGAAATATGCTTTTTTGATGTCTTTCAAAAATATGTTATCTAGACCTTTTTACCCCGTAGACGGGGTAACTTGGAACGGCCAAGTGGCAAACAGGTTTAATGTCTTATTTTATTTTTAAAGGTATTTTACAAAACAAGTACATTTTTAACTAATGCTAAAAAACTAACAAAGGAAAAAATACTTTTATTATGCATTTTCAAAGATGCCGTTTATCTCCCTATAGCAAAGTCATGAGAATCAAGAGTATAGCTGATTATACCTCTTTTTTCCTCTACTTTCAAATATTGTTGTTGAATAATTCTTAATTTTACTAATTTTTAACACATCGGTGGTGAACCTTTTTAACCCCAGACCTTCATATATTACTATGTATTTTTCGATAAATTCTGGGAAATTATAACTGGGAAAAAGTTATTCAACAAAATGTTCCTTCGATCGATATCAAATTTAGGTTATGAATTTAAATAACATAAATAAAAAATAATATAACCTAGAAAATCTTTTATAAATACCAATGAGTATATAATTATACAAATGAGATCTTTCAGAACTACGTGTTTGAGAAAAATATGATTTGCAAAAAAGAGAGCTACAACACCAAAAAGTGCATTTTCATATTAACTTTACAAAAAAGTTGATATTTTGAGTTTCTCGTAACACTTGCGATCTGTTTAATAACGTTTTTGTGTATAAATATAACTACGAACAAAACTACCTACTACAATTTAATCATAATTAAATAATATTCACGAAAAACATCCTATTAAACGTAATTGAACATCATCTATCAAAAACTTGTGACATTTGACGTATTAGCCACCGTGCACTGTTTCATTCAAAATACGATTCTGCAAAAATGTTCAAATTAAAAATGTAAAGTTTTACGCGATTTTGAAATAATATCTCACATTTCCGACAACCTACTGATTAGCACAAATTTTTCAAGACTAAGACTGGCCAAATCGGTTCAGCCGTTTTCGAGTTTTAGCGGATCATTTCATCGAGAGCTATATTTTTATATATAAGATATATAAATTTAAATTGGATAAATAAATTATAAAATAACATGAAACCTAAAATAAAATAATCTATATATTTTTATTTTTCTAATCTATATATTCTTTATTTCATAAAAATTATACCAAAATATAACTAATTTATATTATTTTTAATTTCAGATTACCAGCAACCAGTATTTCTAAAAGGGGTCAAAAGCAAGGCAAAAATACGTCCAAAATTCATTTGTGATAAAAAGTGTTTGTGATTCATAAAAAATAAATTAAACCAGCGCTTCATTAGTGTGATATCGTGAACAAATTGTAATCAAAAACATAACTCACTTAGTCAAAATTGTAATAACCTGTGATTCGCATGTCACCAAAAATCCTTCGAGGACTAACCTCGACTTTTACACCTTAAAACATTTTTTATTACCATGTTATCCTACATGCTCCCCGGTGAAGGAAAATCTTCATCCCCTCACCATGTTCACCAGACGATGTCAAATCAGCAGAAGTCGAGGCTTCAATTGGACTTAGATACAAATTCTTTGGAATCTGCCCAGAATTCTGCACCTAAGATGACCCCTATTATCAGAACTGTCGAAGTCACAGAAACCAGATATAAGGAATTGAGGCATCCTGTTACTGGCCAAGTTTTAGATGCCACCAGAGACCAAAATGTCCAGGAGATGGTTTTTAGTAACCCTCAAATTTTAAGAGATCGACTGGAAAAGACTATGATTAAACAGACTAACAGTGGACAGGTAGTAATATACTCATTGTAGTGTAGGAAATGCAATACCGGTATACCGATATACCGAATTACCGGTAAACCGCTCGATTTTTCGACGCTATTTTTACCGATATTTACCCCAAAAATACCGGTACTTTCGGTACTTTTACATAAGCGCTATTTGATACATAATACACTAAAATTCGGAACAAATTTATCTTTAAATTCCATAATCGCATATAAACAGCTATATCTTCAAGTGATTTTATAAGATAAACAAATGTCAAATATTATCTCACAACTCGTCATTAAACTGAATATTTATTGCTTTCCAAAGGGCTTCATATCGTGTTACAATAAATAGAATTGGACTGATAGATAATGTTTGTTTCATATGTAAAAACGTAACGGTTTTTTAAGTGACATTTGCACTAAAGTATTTTATATCATACAGATTACTCCTGCGTATTTTTTTTTCTTACTTTATACATAATAATTATGATAATTACTAAATATTTTTGCTTCTTATTACAATTATAAAATATTATTTTTCAAAAACGTTTCGAAATTTGAAAATACTATAGAACCAACACATTGTTTTAGATAACAATACTCAACAATTATAGTAACTTATTATTTATCTCGAGAAAGTATCCGATCTTAAATTAGTGTAAAAAAATTAATTTTTTTAAATATTGGGGATTATGCTAATTTAACACATCGGATACAGACAGTACAGTTTATTATAATAGTGTAATATGATCTTTTATGAGTTTTTTGGTCTTTCTTACTCATAAGTTCGTTTTTGGTGAAAAGTACTCAATATACTCGATAGTGATAATGAATTCATTAAATTGGATATAATTTTGTTAAATTATTATTTAAAAAAAATAATCTTATTGTATTATTCTATTGTTTTTATTGTTTAGTTGAATATAGTTGTAGTTGTATAGACATTTTTTTTATATTTGTACTAGAACTTTCAATTTTATTTACGTTTGTTTAAGATAATAAAAATACTGGTAATTTACCGGTATTCCGGTTTTAAAATGAAAAATTACTGAAATACCGGTATTGAAATTTTCCATCGGTATGGCATTCCCTATTGTAGTGCAGTAAACGGAGAGGAAAAAAAGGGTAAAACCTCTGAATTTTTTTACCGTGCTCCAATTTGCATGAAATTTTGGAATTAGGTTCATCTTAACCTCAAGTTCAAAAGTGAAAACAATTTGGGTTCCGCCACCACTCTCTTGGGAAGTTATTAAACTAGTGGTGTATGGCATCGTGCGTTGAGGCAAATTGCTGGAACTTCCCGTACCGTAATGAAATATTCGAGAAATGTTAAACGTTTTCGAATATACTATTGCAAATACTGTAACTTTCATTATTTTTGCTATCTTGTTATATCTGAGCAAATCAAATGTAAATCATAAATCAACTTATCTCCAGAACATTAACAATCGTCATTTCATTTCGAATTCAATTTAAAAACAAATAGTTGCCAAATTTACACAAAATTGCAAAAGTGCTCTCGTATAGTTACAGTCTAAACGCACTCGGGTAAACATTTGTACCAGAGGGGCGCTTAGACTGTGCTTAGTCTAGGTATTTTTTTGAATTTTTAATCCAAAATTACAAAAATATTTTATGGAAAATAAAAAAAAATGATGTAAGAATTTTTTATCCTCAAAAGAAATTGTTTTGTCAATACAAGCAGAAATTTTTTTTTAGATCATTCAAATCGGACGCTTAGTTCACTCAAAAGTGCCATTTTTGCACATTTAGCCTTGTATCTTCGAAATGGCGGGGCCTGTCTTTGCCAAAAACTAATCAGCACATCTCCCTATTAACAGGGATCGAATGTTTTTTTACTTCCCGTAGGGCAAGTTATAGTAATCGCAAAAAATCGAAAATAATTTTTTTTATATATCTTTACGTTTCAAAACCTTCTGAACATTCTGGCATACCTTATTGTTAGAAAAAATGAATGTATGTGTGTGTATGTGTGTGCGTGTAGGTGTGTGCGTGTATATGTGTGTGTTCGGATACAAATTTTCGTCAACGATTTTGGCAACACGGATGAAGCGATTTGAATAATTCAAAAAACTATACGATTTGTATTGATAAGGAGACGAGCTGATTAGTTTTTGGCAAAGGCAGGTCTAGCCGTTCCGAAGATATGGGGCAAAACGTTAACTCAATTTTTAAGAGAACGGAGCGTCCGATTTGAATAATTCAAAAAACATTTTACTTGTATTGACAATAAGATGAAGAACTGATCACATTTTCATGCAGGCAAGTCTAGCGGTTTCGAAGATCTAGTGAAAAAAGTAAAAAAATACCATTTGGCGGTCAAAAATGATCATTAAACATATGCACATCAAATTATCAGATATTTTTTAGAGTTTTTAACAATAAGTATAAATTTGTTTACATTCCTATGAGTTCCGTACCATGTTTATCCTTTAGACGGCGACGCGGCGCTTACGCGCTTCGATATTTTTGAAAAAAAAGTTCAGAATTTACAAAATATTTCAAAAAATTTTCCTTCAAAAAGTCTTTTTTTTTCAAAAAAAAAATTAAATTCATGTTAAAAATTTATAGTTTCTCAAAAATCGAATTTTTTCAGAGTAAATTTTTTTCAAAAATGTTAATCTTTTAAAAAAAAAATTTTTTTGGTACGGGATGACATACACCACTAGTTAAATTTTTATTGACATTATTTTGTTCATATATGATTTTTGTTAAAATGTATATTTTAGGAGATATTTGCAAAAAACGAAGAAAAGGCTAAAAATATGTTAATTTTTAGTGGCCAGTAACTTGAAAAGTATTAGTTTTTTTTTGAAAAACTATAAGAGACATTTTTTGCTTATAATTAGTTCTATCGATTTCCGACGTTATTTTGAAAAAAAGTAATTACACAATTGAGAAGCGCCGGAACTCGAATTGTTTTCACTTTTGAACTTGAGGGTAAGATGAACCTAATTCCAAAATTTCATGCAAATTGGAGCACAGTAAAAAAAACTCAGAGGTTATACCCTTTTTTCCTCTCCGTTTACTGCACTAATTGGTAATATCCAGACATCATCTAAAATTAAATATTTTTCCAGGTACCTTTCGAGAAAACAACTTACACCAAAACCCAAGCATATCCAATCCACCAACAATTCACCACAAACAATAATAACACATCAGAAAAATCGCCCTACATGCAAATTTCTGGCGTCATAAAACACCAACCGGCTCTGTCTACGAAAAACGAAATAAATCGACAATTTATCTCAAACGAATCGAACAAACAAAGGATTCCAACGAACGCTACTGATTTTCAGAAGATAAATATGTCCAATAACGATAGTTCGATGTCGAATAAGTATTTTAATGATAGTGGTGTCAGTACTGGTGATGAGGAGTCTGGTAGTGCTGCAGGGGGCCCTGCAACCAGCCCTTCGGCGAGTGATACCAGTACGCCACTGGCTCATAATGCTGGGAAGAAGTTGCTGCAGGGACAGGGAAAACCAGGACTTAAGAGGTTAGTAAATCGATTAACAAATTATTATGTAACATCATTGAATGTATTTGGCACTTGTGCATCTAGTTTCTGGGTTGAGAAATATTTTAAAATTTTGACTCCAAAATTTGTTAGAAGAGATCATTGATCTGATTTCTGAAGACTTATTTAGATGATGCATCTAGTTATGCAATAAAGACTTAGTTCTTAGTAGATTCAATTGATTTCACTAAAATATTAGATTTTGACTAATTGATCTGATTGGTCAACTAAGATTTTATTTTTCAACATTGATTTTTATAAATATGAATACAGTTTTGTATGAATGATGCATCTAGTTTTGCATTCAGGAAATATTTCTAGATTTTGAAGAATTCAGAGGTTATTTGGGAAATTTGTTTCGCCAAATTTGATTTTGATGAATCTAATTTCTACTTACTATTTTAGATAGATCAATTTTATCATGATTTCTATAATTTGCTTAAGAGAGACTGCAGAGTTCATTATGTGGAGTTTTTTTTTAACTTCCCGAAGGAGAAGTTTATGTTTTCATAAAAAAATCCGATTCGCTAATTTTATGTTTTCTCGACGTTTCAAGCCATTCTGAATGAGACCAAATTTGGAAAAAGTATGTGTGTGTGTGTATGTGTGTGTGTGTGTGTGTGTGTGAACAGATTTTTCGCCGTAAATCGACGATTTCTCAGAAACGGCTAAACCGATTTCAAAAATTTAAAAGCCATTCGATGTATCTCCACGAGGACTATCGTTTCTGAGTTTTGTGCGACGATCGGCCGGGCCGTTTCTTTGTAAATTGCAGAAAAGTGAAATTTTTTTTCTTCACGTTTTAGCCCGCAATTCTGAATCGATTTTGAAATTTCAAAAACCGCTCGAAAGATATTAGTTGGGAATCGACATGATTAGTTTTTGGTAGAGATCGGCCGGGCCGTTTTCTTGTAATAAAGTTTAAAAAAAAATCGACGATTTTTATGATTTTTTTCTGGCGATAGATACCATAGTCTTGTAGATCATACTAAATTATTACGGCCTACGACAAGTCGTTTAATTTTAAAAATTCTTCAAAGTATGCAAGAATTAATATCGTTTTTTGGCATTTGTCAAAATTAGATCTTTCATCGAAGTTTGCTCAAAAACGCCTGAACCGATTTCAGAAATTCAAAAGCCATTTGATGTATCTCAATGAGGCTATCGTTTGTCAGTTTTGTGTGACGATCGGCCGAGATGTTTCTTTGTAATTTGAAAAAAAGTGTTAAACTTTTCATCCACATTTAAGCTCAAACTACCGAATCGATTTTAAAAAATCAAAAACTGTTCGATAGATATTAGTTGGGAATGATACTGATTAGTTTTAGGTGAAAATCTACCGAGCCGTTTTCTTGTAACTAACTGTTGAAAAAACAATTTAAGCCGATTTCTATGTAACTTTTTTGGCGATATATATCATGGTCTTATAGAACTTACTGAAATATTACGGCCGTTTATACAAGTAGTTTAATTTCGAAAATTCATCAAAGTTTGAGAAAATGAGTAGTTTTTTTGACGTTTGTTAAAATTACAATTAGACGATTTACTTGGTATAACGATAGAGTACTTGGTCTTAAAGAACATACTAAAACATTAAAGTTCTACGGAAACTGGTTCAAATATAAACATTGCTGATTTTTTAAAAGTTGCTTCTAGAAAATACTCCGAGTTAACGTGTTCGTTCGTTTTCAATTATGTGTAATAAATCCACTCATAAATTAATTTATTTTTTATTGATTAAGTCAATTATTTACACTTATCGGAAAATCCATGTAACTTGCCTCAAGGCAAAATACCAATACCAACTAGTTAAAAAATTAAGTTCATTCCACACAAATTAACTATTTAGATCCACATTTGTTTGTATTTTCACGGTTTATCGCATTTTGAGGAGGATTTTCGCTTGAATGGTCCTCTGACAATAAAAGCATTATCATCTGCGTTCTATTAGAGAACAATTTGAATCTGGGCCAAATGCACGATTGTCATTCTATCATAATATATATATATATATATATATATATATATGTATATAATTGGCCAAATGACAAACAAACTACAGATGAGATGAGAATAATCTGAATAATAGACATTGCTATCAGACTTTAATATGCTGAAAGTGTTTCCAGACCAAATAGCTTGTGATTTTACTCTAACTTTATTACGATGTATGTCCCCAATGAACTCTTAAACTACTGAACCGATTTTAAATTTTGTTGCCTCACCTCATGTATTTATATTCAGCTTTAGGTTATAAGCAATATTAAAAATTTTAGTTCATATTCGAAATGTTAGAATTTATGTTGTAAATTTTAGGAAAACAAAATTGTGGATAGACAGTTGTCAATGTTTAAAGAAAATTTTGAGTTTTTTTTCAACAGTTAATTACAAAAAACGACTCGGTAGATTTTCACTTAAAACTAATCAGTATCATTCCCACTTAAATCGATTTGGTAGTATGAGTTTAAATGTGGACGAAAAGTTTAAATTACAAAGAAACGGCTTGGCATATCGTTGCACAAAACTGAGAAACGATAGTCCTCATCTAGATACATTAAATGGCTTTTAAATTTCTGAAATCGATTCAGGCGTTTTTGATCAAACGTCGATAATAGGTCTAATTTTGACAAATGCTAAAAAACTATATTAATTTTTTGCAAACTTTGACGAATTTTTAAAGCTAAACGAGTTGTCGTAGGGCTGTGATATTTAGTATGATCTAGAAGACTATGGTATCTACTGACAAAACAAATCATAAAAATCGTCGAATTTTTTATTTTCAAATTTGGTTTCAGAATGGCTTGAAACATCGAGAAAACATAAAATTAGCGAATCGGATTTTTTATGAAAACATAAACTTCTCATTTGGAAGCTAGTAATATATACTACATTTATTCATTTCGATTTGTTTCATACATATTGTCATTAGAGAAAGTTCGAAGACACCATCAATTATTGTCAACCGTCAACAAATTGCACAATTGGCAATTTATGACTCTATTTCAATTTTCGAACAGAGCATTAAAATAGAGAATAGATTGCGAAAGATTTCTTGAATTGATTTATATTGAACGATTGCAGAATAAATCAAAGCTCAATCAATATTATACTAATAACCATACAAATTATTTTAGATAAATAAACAAGTATGTTAAATAATTATTAATCATTCGTTAGTATTTTTTCATAAATTAATTTCCAACTTCCTCCGGCAAGGTCTAGCAAGGTAAATCGTAATCTTTGAAAAAAATATGTCAACAAAAAAAGCGTCTAATTTAAATTGTCTCTTTCTCCTATTATATGCCGTTGTTACTTTCTAGTAATTACTGCCGCAGTAAAAAGACTTTCTACCAATTACTTTATATATGGTACAACTACAGGCCAAGGTTGGTAATTACTAAATTGATCCAAAAATAGTACCTGGATTAGGTTATAGAAAAATGGAAATTATGTCAAAATTATTACAAAAGCTGGTATTAATTTTATCCAGTTTATTTTTATTCATTGAGAGTTGATTTATTTACAATAGTTGGCTTTTTGGCTATATCATTGGCAATTCTTCATGAAAAAATTGATATTTTCATCATTGAGTCTAATGTTTAAACCTAAATTATAAACTAAATTTTTAAAACCAATTTTCTATTTCATTCGTCTATTTTTGAAGGTTGTGCAATCATTTGTAATTAATTTTTAAAGTCCTATCCCATTATTACATCATCTATTCTTCGATTACATTGAATTCGCAACATGAGCAATTATATTTTTCGCAAAAATTGTATACAAAAGCCAGGAAATGAGACCAAATTTATTTATAGAGCCCGAAGATATTTATATGTTTTAAGTGTAATAATATTTAGCACTTTTCTGCTTTTGCAATAAATATAAA